ACTCTTTTATAAAAAATAAAATTTAACTTTGTTTCAAATGTATATTATATTAATAAAATATTTTCAAATAAATAACATATTTAGAAAATATTAGAAAATTATAAATATTACATTACTATTTAAATATACACAATATAATTTAAATATTAAACTAATATAAAATAAAAATATTTTATAAATTTACATCTCAAATAGTTGTCTATCTAACCAACTGCATATAATAAATAAATCATCAGGAATTTTTTTTTATTATCTCAAAGATGATATTATCTTATTTGTCTAGAATTAATAAATACTAAAATATCAGTGGAAATGATATATACATACTTCCCATCATTGTAACTAAAAAAAAGTTATGGTTAGAGATGATATTTTCTTTTGATGATAATTACTCCAAATAAAATATAAAAATATTTTTTTTTGCTCTAATAATATTTTTTCTCAAACTAATAATAAAAGGTTTTAATAACGATCAAAGGAAAAGCAAAATGGCTTAATCAAGCACTACATTCCACCTCATTTGTCTTTTTTTCTTCTTCTTGCTTTGGACTGTTTAACTTACTATTTGTCGTCACCGTTTTTCGTCCGGGCACGAATTTTTACTTTTGGCGGTGAAATTGATGTGAATAAATGGTTTTGGAAATAATTTAGGAGTCGCCATCGGCCTTTTGGGTCAGTTAGGTCGAATACCTAAAAAATATCTTTTAAAAGAGTTTTTAAGAAAACATCAATTAAAAGATAAACTGATCTGCGTTTTAACCAAAAATTCGTTCTTTTTAATAATAAAAAGGGATTCGTGGTCGGTTACGTTTAGGGAATGATTAACACCCCTACAACGCCCAAAATTGGTACTTTTTAATTATAAATTGTCTCTAGTATTAAAATTAAAAATTCAAAAATATATTTAATTTATAATCCTATTATTTCAAAATTATATAAATAATATTTATTTATTTATTTAAAAATATTAGAAAAGAACTTCTAGGTGCCTTAAGACAGCTCTTTTCTTTGATATTAATAAAATGGATTTTAAATAAAATTAAATAATAATTTTTAATAATATTTAATTTTAAAATACCAGAATAGGACATCCAGTTATATTAAGACTGTCATTTTCTTCGATATTGAAAAATATTAAAATAATTTATTTTAAAAAAAAATTATAAATTATTATTTATCATATATATTTATGACTATATAATAATAATAAAAATATTTAAATATATAAACAATTAAAACAATAAAAATACAATTAGAATTATATATTTAAAAGCAGTAAAATAAATGAAAACATTTAAAATTAGTGACTAAATTATAGTAAAATTAAAATTAAAAACCTAATTCATAATTAATCAAAATTATAGGGTTTAAACATGTTATTTTCTTATTTTATTAATTTAGTGACTAAAATAAAACTATAAAATTCGGATAATAAATTAAAATAAATTTAAAAAAATAAAATCGGTATTAAAATAATAATTAATAAACCATGAGGGACTAAATTTGATATTTACCTAAATATATATATATATATTCTGATAAGGACTAAATTAAAATAAAATAAAATTAGAAGACCAAATTAAAATAATCAAAAACTACTTTCAGTGACTAAATCGTAAGGATTACAAACTATAGTGACTGCGGAAATGGTTTACCCATGATGGAAATTACACAGATACCCTCATCAAAACGGCGTCGTTTTGATGAGGGTATTTATACCCATTTAAGCCGGCCCTAAGGGCCATCCTTCTCACTTCTCTGGTTTTGCTTCTCTCTCTTTAGAGAGAGAAGCTCTCGTTTTCTCTCGCCGGAAGAGAAAATCGGCCTTCGTTTCCGGCGCCGATCGCCACCGCCGGCCACCGCTCACGGTGACCGGAATTCCTAAATTACTCTAGAGCATAGATCTCGACCTTCTAAGGCCGAATATGGCCTCCGTTTGTCCTAAAATGCTCTAGATCGTTCTAGATCTAAAATAAATCGAAGGTTTTACCTTCGGTTTTACAATGATTCCGGTGGTTCCAGACGATTTAAAGGCTTCTACGATGGTAAGATGCTCCTTTTCCTCTTCTTTCTGGTTATTGGCTTGCTGTGATTATCTCTTCCTTTCGTTTTTTCTCCTTTTTTTTCTGTTTTCTATTTTTTTGTTCTCTGTCTCTCTGTGGCTGTCTGTTCTCCTTTTCTTTCGCAGGTATGGTGGCTTTTATAGCCACCACGAGGTTCTGTTTGGACCGGTCCCGAGAGGGATGTCTAGGTGAGTCACCATAGCTATGCTGGTGACTCACCATGGAGCTCGATTTGGGCTGCCATCTGGTGTTCTGGAATCTACGGCGGCGAGGTGGCGTGGCAAAAGCAGCGTCGGCAGCGACTGGTTGGACCATCTGGCAGTGGAGGCGTCGGCAGCAGCGTCTGGAAGCTGGAGAGGCAGCTTGAGCCTTCTGGAAGCGGCGGCTGGGACTTAGATACAAACCCTAAATGGGTTTAGGGTTACATATTTGGGCTTTTGGGTTGGGCCGGATTTGGCCCGTTTGTAATAATAATTAATAATAATATTAGTAATAAATAATAAAATTAGTAATTATAATTATAATAATAATAATTATAATAATAATAATTATAATAATAATAATATTTAAATGAAAAAATGAGTATCTTCACTATTTTTAGCCAACTATTAAAAAAATACTTTTAATGTATAAAACAGCTGATGAGGCTTAATATATTAAACTGAAATATGGAATTAGGTATATTTAGTTTGAAGAAGCTTTTAAAAAGAATGAACTTTAGAGGAACTCCTTCATCCCCACCTATTAAATTATGAACTGTAAATTGAGTTTAAAGGAATGGCAGGTGAAGGGATCCCAAGATTAATGCTTCATTAAAGAGATTGACATCACTAGGGAATTTCTTTTCATTACTTAGCCTTTTGCAAAAGCAATCTCCTTTTCCTTTATTAATGATTTCAATGGAGTAAGCATCAGAGTTTATTTTTTTAGACTCTTAAAAAAAACTAATAATTCTCTCAACCGATTGCCCGTCGCCATCAAAGTTTAATTTCTAAGATGACATCAAAAGTTTATTTTTCAAAGTTTATCATCTGTTTTTAACTTTCCTTTTCGATTTGGATTTGCTTCAATCGAATATTTATCTAGCAATTTAGGGATTGGCCTTAGACAAATCTAAAAATTTTAAAAAAAAAAAATCATCACTAGCAGATATTTAAGCATATGAAATTCACACATTCGGGTGTGTTTTATTCGACATTCAGCAATTCCGCTGTTCACTCTTTGGCACAAAAGGCGTCCAATTCCAATTCATCTTTATACTTTGATTATGAATACCTCAAATATATTGTTTCAATTGTACTGAACGTATTAAAACTTTTTAAAAAAACATAAGAAATTTCATATATGAATTTAACATTAGGATTTGAAAACCTCTAACTTGAACTATTAATTTTTGGGTTTTAAAATTAAACAAACTAACTTAATTTATAAATTAAAACTTATTAATTTGAAGAAAAAAATACTAACTTAACTTATGAATTAGTACTTTTTAATTTGAAGTTTTAGGAGAGCGCCATCATAATATAGGCTTGAATTTAAGCTACGATGACTAAAAATTGAAGCTAAATAGCCAAATATTTAGGGAAGAAAATGGAGGTTCTCTCAAGGTTTCAAGAAAACAATTCTTTTCCCTTCCTCTCTTTTCATTTGCCGTGTGTTTATCCCCAATTTGCACAAAATTCACACTTTATCTTAATTAAAAAATAAAGCTTAAAATGACATGGTGACACCTAATTTGGTGACTCACCGTTTCAAAAGGAAAATGGTTTAATTATGATACAACAAAGAAATAAACTTTTCCTCACAATATAATCCTTAACTTCCAATTTCTCATAATTCATGATTTAATCTTCATCCAAAATTAAATTTGATTCCTTTTCATTTTAATTCATTCAAATTTAATCCTAATTTCGTTTGCTGAGGCTAAAATTCAAAATTAATTACCGGAAATAATTTCTCGATCATCGAAACTGAAAAACTATTAGAAGAAACATTCAGCAATTTCAAGAACTGCCCAATCCATCAAATTCTAATGATGTTCTGTCCAATTCCATAAAATCCCTTTTTAGTAATAGTAACAGACTTCACAGATACATGAAGAAAGTACGAGGTTCCTAGAAAAATGTCAGGCCCCTGTAAGAGTTTCGGTAAAAGGACTTCCAAGTGTATCAAAATGTAGTGTCTCACTCACAATATCTTCATCATAGGTGTCCATCAGAACATCTTGCAGACTTGAAGCTCATTGGCAACACTGACAGGAAAGAAACAGTTAAAAAGGAATAATATTACCACCCCCAAAGGATAATAAGAATAATGACTGACAAAAGCATCTAGCTTTTCAAAAACAACCAGAAATATCAGTTCTTTATAAGATCCTAGCTGATAATAAGCATAATGACTTCTTTATAAGATTCATTCACATATAGATTCAAAAACAACCAAAAATTAAACGACAACAGTCAAAGAAGATCACCTCAGGAATGCTTCCAGGATAATACTTGGAACCGAAGATGAAGAACCCTGAATTCTCCTTTGTCCGTTGATAAAAACACCTTCCGAACCATGGGTACTGACTACTGATGCAATGGATCAGCTTAGAACGCTAATGACTCTGAGAAGAACAAAACCATCAGCTTGGAAAATGAGCAAGTTTCCATTTCCCTTCAATAATAACAGATAACTTTAAGGAGATATTGTGGGGGGGGGGGGAATTAAACTAGAATTGATGAAATTAGAGAAAAATGATTAAGTTCTTCAATCCAAGCTTACTAATACATCAAATTTGCAGTACTATCAAGAATAGAACTTATACAAAAGACGTTATGTGCAAATTAACCGTGTTAACATCAATAATTCATCCAATAATCTGATCAGATAAAAAGCACTTCCCCAAAATTCTACAGGAAAAACTAGTTAGTACTAAGGAAACCAAATTATATCAAACATCAATCCACTCCAAGCTTAAGAATCCAATCATTTTTGCAGTAACATTAAGAATAAAGCATCTCCAAAAAGGCTAGCATATGTGAAAATTAACCATCTAAACATCAATGACTCATTCAATATTCCAAAGACTATTAGTAAAATAACAAGCAGAGTTATATCAATATTTTACAGATTCATGCATAACAAATGAAATTGCCCATCAAAATATCTATATAATCACCAAATTTTCAACAAAATTTGCCTAAAATTACTTAAATCTGTCGTCATGAAGAGGGAAACACGTCTTTCACAGCCAATGCAGCGGACAAGTAGTTAAGAGTGTTCCACAAAGTTTCCTTCTCTCTTCTTAACCTGGCCGCCGTATCTTCCAACTCCAGCAAAGCCTGTTGCTCTCTCGGCGCCCCCTCGAACGTACTCCCTACGAAAAACGAAAACGGAGTCGGGAAAAGGCTCCTCCTCAAATCATGCGCTTCCTTTTCCGGTTTTCCATTAAGCCTGTTCGATAATCGAATCACGTCTTTCATACAACTCTCCACTTCATTCGCTAATCCTTCCAAATCTTCGTCACCGGAGGGTCTGTCTTCGAGCCAGTTCACTTCGGCGACGAGGTACGGTTTCGTACGGACGATGCCAGTGACACGGAACCGTTCCTGGCCTTTACATATGAGGAAAAAGCGGTCATCGACGAGACGTTCGTGTTTGACGATCTCCCCGATACAACCGACTTCGGCGGTGCCGGATTCGGGGTCGGAATAGATTACACCGAAGCGGAGATCGGTGTGAAGGAGCGTGTGCATCATAATGCGGTAGCGGAACTCGAAGATCTGGAGAGGGAGAACGGATCCGGGGAAGAGAACTAAGGGGAGAGGAAAAAGTGGCAGCTCAACGACGTCGTCTGATTTAGCAGGATCGGCGCTGTGTTTCTCCGGAAAAGAGGATGCCGAGCACCGGAGAGAGCTGAGCCTTTGGAATCGGCGCGATTGAGGGAGTGAACATGGCTTGTAAAAGGGGTTCGAATAGGCGGCGTTGGGGCTTATCGAAGGTTGGTGAGTGACGGAAGAAGAAGAAGGGGAAGGGATGAAATGGAGGAGAGCCATTGAAGAAAGACCTGAAAGTGCTTGATGTTTAGCCCAAGTGAAAATCAATAAACTAAAGGAGTAGTAGACCAGAAAGAACTCTAATCTACGTGGGACTTTGCTTATCCATATATATTTGTATCACGTGTGTGGGTGGCCTGCATCGTATTATGAATCACTGCGAAAAGGTGGTGGATCATGCAAGGAAGGTTTCAGCTGTTGATAATGAGGTAAATTTTAACAGCCAAATGGGCCACGATGTGGCTAATTGAGGATTTGGCTCAGGTGGACTCGGTTTTGGGCTCAAGAGATAGTGAGAATATGGTGGATTTAATAGTCCAAAACTCTTCTACTATTTTCCCACTAAAGTCTTAAGTGGTTCTTCCATTGATTTGGTTCCAAACGGTGCAGAGGAATTAAACTACCCTGGCAGCGTTCCTAAATTTTTTTCGTCAGAGGATTTGGCTTCTTTGCGCCCAAGAAAAGTTCCTTTGAATAGTTCTGGGTTATTTAGTTCGAAGTCAAGAAGAATCATGTGATGCCAAATCAGGAAATGGGTGGACGATCCTCTCTCCTTGCCGGAATTACAGCATGCACGATCGGAAGGGAACTGTTCAAAGGAAAAAATGGAAGCTGAAGCAGTCTGGAAGGTACGTAATTTATTGGGATTTTCTTTTAAGGGTGGGAAGGAGGCTGTCACGGGAAAGGTCTGTGAGCTCGAATTGGAGCTTTGCAGAAGCTGCTGATGTGTAGTTGGTTCTTGGTTTTTGTTTATCCTTTGATGATGAGTTTATCTATAATCACATGGAATATTAGAGGTTTGAGGAAAAAGGAGAAAGTAAGGGCGTTGAGGGGTGTCATTTAAAAACACAAGGCTAATTTTGTTTTCATCCACGAAACTAAAAGATATTATTTGAGTCTTAATTTGATTCGGAAAAGGGACAATGTTGATTTTTTTGTTTCACCGTCGGTTGGAACTTCAGGGGTCTTCTAAGTATGTGGGACTCTAATTTTTTCAAGGTATCTGAACAGTTGGTTTTTTCTCGTTTTATGGTGTTAATCGTCTGTTTTCATTCCAGCAATTTCTGTTGTGGTATGGTTAATCTTTATGGTCCTGCAGTTGATTCTGATAAGAGTTTGTTTGTAGAGGAATTACTTGATTTTCTCAAGTCAATACTGATTCCTTGGTGTATCGGGGGCGATTTCAACATGATTCTCGAGCTTGAAGAAAATTGGGTTTTTCTATAAACATTGGAATAGTGGAGTTATTTAGGAATTTTGTTTTTGAGGCTAGTTTAATTAATCTTCCCATGCAAGGGGTTAGATTCACTTGGAGCAATAATAGGGATCCGCCGACCTTTGTTCGATTAGATAGGTTCCTGATACATCAGATTTTGAGAGTATCTTTCCGGATATCTCGCAGAGGTTGTTGGATAAATCTTTATCAGATCATAATGCAGTTCTTCTAGCAGTTTCTCACTGCAATTAGGGACCTAAACCCTTCAGAATTTTTAACTAATGGTTGGAAGAAGATGGCTTTGTAGATACAGTGATGGAAGCTTTTGCAAGAGTCAAAAAGTCAAGTCTGAGGCTGAAAATTGGAGGGTTATTGAAAAGTTCAAAACTTTCAATTTAGAACTGGTTAGATAAGTCTAAGGAGGGGAACAAGAAATCAACTTCTGAGTTGGAGAAGGAAATTACTAGTTTGGAGAATTGTATCCAAAATTCATCAGGCGTGTCTAGCCTACACCAAAGGTTAGCGTCTTTGAAGTCCCTGCTTTGGGTTGAATATCGCAAAGAAGAAAGAGCTTGGTTCCAAAAATTTAGACTTTGGTGGTTCAGTGAAGGTGACCGGAATACCCGGTTTTTCCATCTAACGGCTTCTGCTAGAAGAATGAAGAATGCTATTAATTGTTTGAAGAAAGATGATGTGCTTATTACAGATCCGGCGGCGATCAAGCAACATGTTTTTGAATTCTTTCGATCTGGATTTTGAAAAAATAAATGAGGTCCAGGCTACATTACTTGAAAGTTCTTTTACGGAGCAGGAAGTGTGGGAAGCCTTACTTGCTTCGAACGGTAATAAGGCGCTAGGGCCAGATGGTTTTAATTTGGGCAGAGAGTGGGAACAGGGCACTAATCATTCCTTCGATACTCTTATTCCGAAGATTGCGAACCCAGAACAGCTTGGTGATTTCAGACCTATAATTCTCGTGGGAAGTCTATACAAAATTCTTTCGAAAGTGCTTACTAAGAGATTAAAGCCTTGTATTGATCAGATCATCGGAGACTCTCAATTCGCTTTTATAGCGGGTCACCAAATCCTCTATTGTTCCCTGGTAGCAAATGAGACCATTGATTATGTTTCAAAAGCTGGTATTAGTGGAATTGCCTTTAAGATCGATTTTCATAAGGCATACTACACAGTCAACTGGGAATTTTTGTTACAAATTATGAGGAAATGTGGTTTTGGAGAAATATGGTGCAGGTGGATTCATAAGTGTATTTCGTCGGCAAAGATATCAATTCTGGTGAACGGAGCCCCAACTGAGGGTTTCTCCATCTCGAGGGGTCTGAGGCAGGGATGCTCTCTTTCTCCGCTCTTATTCAACATTGTCGGTGAAGCGTTAAATCTCATGTTGATCAAAGCAACCAATCTGGCCATCTGGGTCTTTTCTTAGGTTTTTCAGTTAGCCGTGGGGAAGGAAGTATGGTGGTCTCCCATCTTCAATTTGTGGATGACCTCCTTATTTTCTGTGGGGCTTCGGAGATGCAAGTGAGAGTTTTCGAATTAGCCTTGGGTCTGAAGCTTAATCTTAAAAAGAGTAAAATTTTAGGTGTGCTCCAAAGGTGGGCTGAATCTGTTGGGTGTGTAATGGAATGCTTTCCCACTAAGTACTTGGGACTACCTCTGGGGGCTAGCAGGAACTCTGCTTCTTTGTGGGATCCGGTCATCTGTAATGTTTCGGGCAGACTAGAGGGATGGAAGTCCAAATTCCTTTCTTATGGAGGTCGGTTAACACTTATTAAATCAGTTCTGACTAGTCTTCCTGTCTACTATCTATCTCTTTTCAGGTTGCCAGTTTCGGTCTCGAATAAATTAAACACTTATAATCAATTTTTTGTGCGGAGGTGATGCAACAAGGTCCAAAATTCATTGGGTTCGGTGGGATTCTCTCTGCAGACCAAACTATGAAGGTGACCTTGGTATAACTAATGTGGATGTTATGAATAGAGCATTGTTAAGCAAGTGGATTTGACGCTATGGGAATGATCGAGGAAGTATGCGGCGTCGAATGATTCAAGTCTCTGGGCAGCAATAAAGGTATCCTGCCTCCCCTTTCACCAAATCGTAATTTTTCCTGGATTTGGAATTCCATCCTTAAATCTTTTTGTTGTGAAGGCAGTTTTAGTATTTGTTTGAGATCAAATTTGTCCCTACAAGTGGATGATGGTAAGAATATTTCTTTTTGGGACGATTTGCCCATTGAAAATAGCATTTCCTAGAATTTTCGCTTTGACATTAAAAAAGAGGGGTGTATTGCAGACTTTAGAGTTAAAAATGATTCGGGTTGGGTTTGGAACATACCTCTGAGAAGAGGTCTTTTTGATCGAGAAAGACTGACTGGGTGCTTTGGCTTGGTTCAAGTGATGGAGCTTTTTTGGTGAAGTCCCTTAAGAAAATTTTTGTAGGTCCACTGCCAGCAAAGGATTTCTGGAGAAGTTTTGTATGGATCGGCTTGTTTCCACCAAAGGCTGAGTTGTTCATTTGGCTTGTTATGCAAAACCGAGTTCCGGTGAAAGTGGAACTTATGAAGAGATGGGTGCGTCCATATTGAACAATTTGTGTCCATTCTGCCGATGCTACCTGGAGGATGTTGAACACCTTTTCTTTTCCTGTTGGTTTAGTTGGAGGATTTGGATAAGTTATTATAATATTGTGGGACTGTCAGTTTTGGACAGGGATCCCAAGACCTTTTTGGAATCACGGGGAGAGTCAGGATCAGCTTCAGTGAGTAAGGTATGTTTTTACTTTCCCTATGCGATTATTTGGTCTTTGTGGTTATTTAGAAATGACTTGGTTTTCAATAGTAAATCGATGGGTTTGAACCAGCTGTCTTTTCTAGTTAGTTTTCGCATAGCTTCATTGTTAAAGGCCAAATTTCCTGGCTGTAATATTGACTTGGATTCCATTGTGGCTGACCCGTTCCTGGCTACTAATGGTATGCTAAAATCAAAAAGTAAGCTTTTACATGTCAAATGGTCCCCGCCACCGGTAGGTTTCGTTAAATTGAATGTTGATGGGGCTGTTTCTACTTGTGGATCCAAGGCTGGGATTGAGGGGTTATTATTTAATTCGGACGGTGGAGTGTTGTTTAGCTTTTCCGAATCTTGCAATGTCTGTTCCCTTGCTTTGGTTGAACTTTGTGCCATCAAGGCTGGAATGGCCAAATTCCTGAAATCTAATTGGTTTGGGAACCATAGACTGATTGTTGAATCCGACTGCTGTTCTGTTGTGGACTGGATTTCCTATATGGCCAATCCCCCTGCTAATATTTCAAGTGTAGTGATGGAGTTGCAGGATTTAATAAAGAAAAATGGCATGCTCGTTCGCTGGATTCCTCGGTGCTGCTGCAATACAAGGGCCGATTCCCTTGCCAATGAAGGTGTTGGATAGTGTTGTGTTGCCTGAAGGGTAGTTTTTCGATCTTTTTTGAATCTTGTTGTATGTTTTGTTAAGGTGGTTAATTTGTTTGATGTGTGAACAGGGTCTGTTTTGTTAATAAAGCTTTTTTGGGCACTCTTTTCCCCTGCATAGGTTGAGAGGGATTTTTAATGAGGCCCTTTTTTCTTTAAAAAAATGAAACACAATTCAGTAATAAATGAAAATTTGTGGGGATGAGAATTTATTAGGCTTCTTCAGAGTGGTCAAGGAAAATATTGTTTTCTATAGAAATTTTGAGTTAAAACAGTTATATTTATAAAATGAATACATATTATCTATAATTATTTTTTTAACAGATATTTTATAATTATCAAATTATTAAAGAAAATAGTGGGGATGACTTAAAGTTGTTTTTGTGTAAAAAGACGGTGGGTTTATTGCGGAGTTGGGAAGGCAGAGTAGGTTTATTTTATTGATATACCTCGAAGGGTTAAAATTGTGTTAAGCGAGTATTGTTTTTGTGCATACAAGAAAGGATGGGAGAGCAACATCGAGCTGTGTGGCATAGCCACAGTCTTCTCTTTTAAGGAAAACAATAATGTCATTGAGACTGCTGCTGCTGCCCACTTGATAAAAAGAACTTGACAACAACCCTTTTTTGTCCTCAACAATATATAGAATCTTCTTTCCTAAACAAATAAAAGATTTTGAACTTTGAACCCACTTTCTTTTTTTCCTTTCAAACTCCATATGCCTACCCGAGGCTAATAATACCATGGCTCCCTAAATTTAATTAATTTTGGAATTTGCATGACTCGTCAAGAAAATTTAAAAAAATAATTTGATGTTGAAAATGTCTAATACGTTGAAAGACATGCAGCAGCTCCTCCACATGAAAAATCCTTTTGTTTGGACCGTGTCGCTTATGGCATGGAAAGGCACAAAATGAATACAGTTAGGTTTGAAGCAAGGATAAGAGACATTAATCACTGTGAAACATCAATTCATGTGAAGAGAAAAACTACAAAAGAAATTTTCTTCTCGTCATCATGATAATTTCATAGATTTTGGTTATGCCAAAGTGTGAAAAAGTGTAGGCATGGAAAATTGAATTTAAAATAATTCATGCTTCAAAACTTCATTTATAAAATAGAATATTATTTTCTTTAGATATTTTAAATTTGAGTAACTATATCTAAAAGATATGTGTTTTGTTACTAAAAATAACTATAAACATAAACTACCTTATAATCCCAATAAGTTATTTAATTAAAATAATAAATTGTTAATTTGATTATTCTAAAATGATTTGAAATTTTAAAACATTAATTTGGCTTAATCCAAAGCCAACCAATGCGTAAAAATAGTATATAATATATTTTCCCACTCATTTAAATCATTGATTTGACCTAACAACACGTCTAGGGAAGATTGGTTAAAATCCAAAACGCTGGACACCAATTGGCAATCGCAACGAATCATCCAAGAAAATAACCCTTCACTTCGACTTTCGAGTTCAACAGTCACACTGATCACTAGAATATAAAAAAAAGACGAACAGCGATAAAGGTAAACACGTTCACGTCAACGACTTAAGGGACATTGTAATCCCCACATGTTTCACCCATGCAAAAGAAGTTGTAGTATAATCCATGGAACAAATATACCCTTCTCTCTTCCAAATCTTTTGATCAACTAAACCCCATATTCGCTGCACCTCTACAACAACAACGTAGATTGCATGGAAATTTGCGCATATCAATCTTTGCATTCCTTATTTATGAATTAAACTACCAGGATTAATTAGTTTAAGGTTTGGATGAATATTTTGGACGTCTGCTTGTTTAAATATTTAAAATCAAGAATTTTCCATGCGAAATTAATTTCCCTCGAAAATTACATTATTTACTAGTGGTTTAAATTATTTTTCAGAATAAATCTAGAGTGAATATAATGTAATATTTGTTTGAAGGACTCTCAATTTTTTTACAATCAACATTTATATTTCTACATACATTATGTTTGAACCCGAGATTATATAAGTTAACACTAAATCTATTGATCACTTGATTCGTATGATTTGTATTAATGGCCCAAATTAATTCCAATAATATGGAGTTAATTAAATCCGTAACCAGGGAGAGCAGGGCAGGGCAGCAGCACCCACGTGAACCATCCGCAGCCTGGGACCCCTTGTAGATCCTCCGTATCCAAACTGGACCCCACAGCCATTCCCTTCCTTTCCAAAAGGCCGAATGTAATGGAACGGGAAGGGTGGTTTCAGTCTCTTTTCCCACACGTGTATACCCGTTCCTCACACGTGATAGGCCACGTGTCTTTCCAGATGGGCACAAGCTCTTCGCCTCACGCCACCCTTTTGACCTACAAATTTCGAACCTGTATCTCATATACTCGACACCAAAAAGAACGACAACAATAAAAGCTAACCCTTTTTTTATTTTTGCTTCAAATTCCCTGTTTCTTTCTCAACCCCCAACGTGGAAAAAAAAGAGATAAAAAGAACAGTAGTAGAGGAATCTGCGCATGTTGTATTGATAGTTGAAACTAAATCTTTAAAGTGTAATCCTCAGCTTACATTAACGCTGCCACCAAAGATATTATTCCTTCTTTTCATTGTTTTCCTCTCATATATTCCCCTCCCTTTTTAATTACCACCTTTGTTTTTCCTTTCCACTTTCTCTATATATTCGAAGGAAAAAAAACCCATTGTTGAGGCAGAAAAAAGAAGCATTGTTCTTTGCTATGGCAACTAAGCTTATCTTAGCCTTTGCTATCTGTAGATTGATTGTCACTGTGGGATTGACCCTCAAGCCCACAGAGCTTCTCCACCTGGGTTTCGACGGTCAACTCAGCTTTGACCCCGCCGACGTTGATTCCGCTTCTAAAGACTTTGGGTTACTGACCCGGGTCGAGCCACTCGCGGTCTTGCATCCATCTTCCGCTCTGGAAGTGGCTCGCCTGGTCAAAGCAGCCTACGGGTCGGACCAGGGGTTC